TTAACTTTTCACTTTTTTTTCATATCCGTATAATTATCGACTTGAATTTCAACAGTCGGTAAGTATCAATATTTCATTGTATATTCCATAATGCATGTTTGTCATGTAGTTGTCACGTGTTCGATCAGCGGAGATTTAAATGGTTTTGTTCCGTACGTTTATAATGCCAAGTGTCGGACTTGTATTTCAACGTTTGTTTTAATCGTAGTGTATTGTGTTGTTAAATTTGACATTAATTATCTTTTCACTTTTTTTTCATATCCTTATAATTATCGACTTGAATTTCAACAGTCGGTAAGTATCAATATTACATTGTATATTCCATTATGAATGTCATGTAGTTATCACGTATTCGACTAGCCGGTATTTGAATGGTCTTGTCCCGTACGTTTATAATACGAAGTGTCGGACTTGTATTTCAACATGTGTTTTTATTGTAGTGTATTGTGTTGCTAAATTTGACATTACTTACCTTTTCGCATTTTTTTTCATATCCGTTTAATTATCGACTTGAATATCAACAGGCCGTAAGTATCTATATTACATTGTATATTCCATTATAAATGTTTGTCACATAGTATTCACGTGTTCGATTAGCGGAGATTTAAATGGTTTTGTTCCGTACGTTTATAATGCCAAGTGTCGGACTTGTATTTCAACATGTGTTTTTATCGTAGTGTATTGTGTTGCTAAATTTGACATTAATTATCTTTTCACTTTTTTTTCATATCCTTATAATTATCGACATGAATTTCAACAGCGTGTAAGTATCAATATTTCATTGTATATTTCATTAAGAATGCTTGTCATATAGTTGTCACGTGTTCGACTAGACGGTATTCGAAAGATATTCTCCCGTACGTTCATAAAACCAAGTGTCGGACTTGTATTTCAACATGTGTTTTAACCGTAGTGTATTTTGTTGCTAAATTTGACATTAATTATTTTTTCACTTTTTTTTCGTATCCGTATAATTATTGACTTGAATTTCAACAGTCAGTAAGTATCAATATTTCATTGTATATTCCATCATGCATGTCATGTAGTTATCACGTATTCGACTAGCCGGTATTCGAATGGTCTTGTCCCGTACGTTTATAATACGAAGTGCGGACTTGTATTTCATCATGTGTTTTTATCGTAGTGTATTGTGTTGCTAAATTTGACATTAATTATCTTTTCACTTTTTTTTTCATATCCGTATAATTATCGACTTGAATTTCAACAGTCGGTAAGTATCAATATTCCATTGTATTTTCTATAAGGAAAATCTTTGTCTTGTGATTGGTCTCTTCCCAGGCGATTGGGTTTCCATTCAGTTATATACTATTGATTTCACCTCTTTATCACTGTATTTTTATAGACTCAGTAAAAACTTAAAGCTACATTAAAGGATCCAAAATTAATGTACGGAAATTGTAAGCTTTCTCCATCCAGGTAGCTTTCTTGAATGACCTGGCAGTGGGACGTCGTCTTAACATGGTTATAAACTTCATACAAGCTTAGCTGGTTTTCATATCTTCACGATGGATTCTTCAAGAGCATATAAAGTTCGTGTTGCCATGTTGTGTTAAACCAGTCGCTTTCTGTTATAGGGATATATCCTAATGTTTACATCCAGCTCTGTTTTCATACAGGGTTCACATTGTGTATATGTCCGGGCCAGGATTTTCTGATTCGTTTGACTCCTGGTTCGTCCCATCAAATACGACAGTCCGTTCATATCATATACTGGTGATACTATGTCTAATAATTATGTCAGACAGAAAATAGTGTTTATGTAGTTTTGGCGTTTGAAATTGTCTTAAAACTATTGTGGTAGCTTCAGATTCTGTGGCAAATCAGAAATAATAATGAAAATCAAATAATACATTCCACGCCCTTTAATTTGGAAATTGCAGATAATCACATTTTATCCTCAAAAATATATACAAGTTGCAACCAGTACTAGAAGGGTCGCACCACAGGTTGTAATATATTATGATCTCATCTATTATGGTCACTTTTGTCAATTTGACGACCATTTTGTCTAAACATCATAAAACTACAGACTGTATATGTGTTCGAAATGTGTTTTCTGTGTGTTTAATCACAATCTCTACATATTAGTCTGTACACTTAGTTAGTTACTCTGTACACTCCTAATGATACACGTTTTTTAGTTTCGATAATGGTGTTAATATTTCTTTTAATCAAAATCAATGTCTATGTAGGTTGCTCCTCTACGTGACACGTGTTTTTTGGTAGTATTCCAGGGATATCTATCACTTCCCTTGAATTTCTGACAGAAAAATCCTTATTGAATAATTGTCATCATATTTGAACATCAAATGCTATAATGGGTAAAAGGTGTCATGTGATAAAAATATGCAATATCGATTGTGCATGGTTCATATTTGGTGCCCGCTATTTGTCAACGCCACGCTAATGTAATGAAGTTCTAACTTGATATGTTTGTCTAAAGGAAACAAATGTGGTTTATTATATTGTGTTTGTAATGATGAAACCCAAAACTCTCAAAGTAGTAGATAGCATATTATTCAATATCTAATATTGACTGTCTGTATATGTTTTATAGAGATCCTTGCAAAGACATATAAGAGAAAATGGGAGAATTTAATCAATAAAACAGCCCTAGTAAAAGAAGAATCTAGAATCTTGGATTGTGGTAACCGGGAAACAAAACATAGGAAGAGCACAAATACTGAGATGAAGAGGAGAGATCCAGAGTTGACATATTCAGGGACTAAATTAGCGTATGATTGGGCAATGGGAAAATACAATGAGTATCCATTAGCATTCCATGTAAATGCGAAACAAATCGGTAGTGATCAAGACCTGATGGATGCTGTATACGATCAGCTCTTGCCATACGATATTGGTATATCAAAGTATGAACTTGTACAGCATATTAAAGACAGGGGGAAACCTGTTCTATACATAGTTGATGGAATAGACAGCGATGGGTGCAAGTTGAACACGGGGTCCGCAATCTTTAATGCTATACCAAGTACAATATTACCACTGTGTGAAGTGTGGGCAACTGAGCACAACTTTAGTGAAGTCGTTACATTCAGTAAGTGTAAATAGTTGTTTTAGTTACCAAGCTATATTGTATTCGCTTTTAAAAAGTAACAGCCTATCACTGGAATATATTCATTTTTGTGAGTAGTAATATTGGCGTTAATTCACTCTTTAAATTCTAGAGAAGAGTTATGAGGCCGACACAATAACGAATGTCATCCAAAATTATCCATCACAGATAGATGAGATGATAAGTGTGCTCAAAAACGTGTACCTTAAATTCAAGAAGACCTTCATCGGCAGTGCGCATGCCCACAAATGGGCATACAATGCTTCCAGTGAATACTTCCTCGTATTCCACATCGACACTTACCAGATGGACACAAATGAAGACTTGGTGGACGCCGCATTCTATCAACTCCTGCCAGCATACAAAGGAATGAAAGATGAATTACTACGGGTTATACGCCATCAAGACAGATCTGTTTTGTTCATCCTCGATGGATTTGGTGACGATCGTTCTGCAATTCAGGATGAATCGGATGTTGTTGGAGCCACGCCGTGTGAAATATTTCATAAATGCAAATTTCTTGGAGTCACAACTCTTGAGTAACATCATAAACATATCTAGACATGTACAATATCCATAGTGATACATTCCCATACATAGAGTATACATATGGTGCCACTGTTCAACGAATGGGAATAATACTGAGGATAACTGTACTTTTTATATGCAAGGTTCAAGTTGGCCTGTAGTAAGCATACATTGTGAACCCTAACTTGAACACTGAAATATCTTTAACAATGACATCCGCTGTACATGTACATTATTGTAATACCATTAACAATCTGATTGAAATGAGTCTGATAGTTCCTGTGGTACAATACAATTAAAATAAACATATCAACTTCATCATGTTATTTGTGATATTTGATTAAGGCTATGTACTTCTTTTATAAAGACGGACAGGTCGTGTTATTACAAAATTGTAGTGATATTTCACATCTTGAGTGTCACTTGATTTAGTCATGTAATAATAATTACAAGTTAAAATGCGGTGGTCGTCGCGCAGCACATGTTCGGATTTCATGTAAATAAACAATGTATTGTTACGCTATGTATACCTTTCATTAGTCCCATGTCGAACCACCTTTTAATATTACGTCTTCTTACTATTTGATAATATATCATTTATTGATTGGAAATATTAATCTCACAGAATTTGCGATATAGTTTGCGAGGGAAGTACAATTACTATTCTGATCCATTGGAGGGATGGGAAAAACCATTTTCTTGGGACCGTGCTCCCATTTTATTTTAAATTCGGATATGAATATTTGGTCAGATAGCACATTTGTGGTTGGTTGCTTGGCAACAGCTGAAAGACCGGGAACAGTTAAACATGATAACCATTTGGATGTTTACCAACATTTCCTTGCCCCCTTTAGATTCGATATCAGTACTTGTACTTGATTTATGTTAGCAATGAATAGTATAACACATAATTATTCAAAAACCATGTTAATAGTCGTCTTTGTATTTGTTTTCAAAAACGTCTGTTCCTTGATTTATTGTAGCGTATATTTGTTTCACTCTAGTGTCCGCGGGGAAAACATGGACGCACCTTTATTTCGGCCATGCCCTAACCATCATGTTCAAACTTCACACTTGCATAATGAGATGCATCTGTATATGAACGTCCATGACATGACTAGTTGCCATCAAATTTTATATCTATATTCACACAAATGCCCTTTGATTGAATTTCTGATTCAAAATGGCACTCATACTATTATGGGTTTCTCGTGGCGTTTACATAAATTGTTGTAACTACGTATATATGATCTGTATTTGTTTTGCTTCAGTGTGTCATTATTGTTCTGGTACCTCGTTCAAATCCTACTCAACTTTGAACAACAAATGGATCCAAAGGGCTGTCTGGATGAATGTGCGATACGAGTATACTAGTTTCATTCACTGGATATGCGGAAATCAGTATTTTCGCACATTCATGTAAATACCGGATCGTTATTTTTCTGTATTTTGCCGATGAAATGAAAATGCCTCTCTCCCCTTTCCCCGAGGCACAGCGCAAATATCCCGAGTTACGTGTGTTCACGCCTTTTCCCCGTGAATTTCTTCCTCTTTAGGTATAAGGCTAATGTGACCTCCAAATGACGAAAATGCATGTAAATAATGTTCAAATGGACCATTTTCCCTTCACTGCGAGATCTTGCGTTATGTATGAAATCGAACAACGACTGAGTGGGATTCCACAAACTCGAAAGTGCACATTTAATGATGGTCAATTTTGATGTAGCTAAGGATATCTCAACGCCATATTTCCAGGCTCTGAAAAAAATACATTGAGAGAAAAATCAAGAGCGTCTTTCACACTATATGAAAGATCTTGCAGCGAATGGAAAATCATCTATTGAAAACTGTGCTTTTGTTATACCATGGTTTTACCCAACCGCGGACGGACGCCACACTTTTCAAATTCGCCGTGGAAGTATATAAATATGGATAATTAACTGGCGAGGATTGTAGTGGTCTCAAATGGAAAATGAATTGTTTTTGTTCGCTGAATCGTTAATTTAGAAACAAAAATAAACGAACTGTGTAACAGATAATGGATATGCACGTTCCGTGCCCCAAAATACGTCAGAGAAACGCTTGTTCTAGAGATGACGCAACTAATAGGGAAAGCTTGAGGCTCTTATTATGAAATACACTTAACAAACGTTTATTGATTGTCGCCTTTTCACGCGCGCGCGCGCGTGCGTGCTGTGTGTGTGTGTGTGTGTGTGTGTGTGTGTGTGTGCGTGCGTGCGTGCGTGTGCGTGCGCGTGCGCGTG